CCAAGATGGACTGACAGGCACCAGACTTCCTCCTGGCCAGAAACAACTGGAAAAACAAAAGAAAACTGGGTAAATATGCAAAACAATGGTTTTAAGACATGGACACCAGGAAATGAAGGGCAGTGATCCCTGAGAGATGGGTAACTCTTAGAGGTGAGCTCTAAGACTGCCCTGGATTACTGCCTCACAAGAGTTCCTGAGCCATAGTGTGGGGATGGGCGAACCCAGCTGGAGCCCGGCACTTTCTTCAAGTTAAGAAAAGTCCAAAGAAGCCATAGTGGTTAGAGTATGCAGGGCACAGTACCAGAGAGACGAGGACTGCAGACCTGTAGATCTGTAGATCTGCACAGGGGCCACTTTGAGTCTTGAGCTGAGTGTCATTCAGAAATTTGTGAGTTTGGCAAGGTTGCACGATCCAAGATCAATATACAAAGATCAACTCTATTTTGACATATAAGCAACAATAGAAATTGACATTTTAAAAATGCTACTTAGAATAAAAGATATTAAATACTTAGGGATAAATATGATAAAAGATATGCAAGACATGTATAGCAAAAACCAAAAAGCGTTGCTGAGATAATTTGAGAATCAATAGCATTAAAATACCCATTCTCCCCTAATTGACCTAAAAATTCAGTGTAATCCCAATCAAATGTCCAGGAAGCTTTCTTTTGTAAAATTAAAAACAGATTCTAAAATTCACATGGAAATGCAAAAGACCTAGAATAGCCAATAAAATTGTGAAAATAAAGTTGAGTGACCTGTATTATCTTACTTAATGACTCATCATAAAGGTAAAATAATCAATAGAGTGTGGCATTGGCATAAAGATAAACAAATAGACCAACAGAAAAGAACAGAGGTTACAACAGAAACAGGCCCATAAGTGTGGCGGCTCACGCCTGTAATTCTAGTACTTTGGAAGACTGAGGCAAGCAGATTACCTGAGGTCAAGAGTTAGAGACCAGCCTGCCCAACATAGCAAAACCCCATCTCTATTAAAATTCAAAAAATTAAACAGGCGTGGTAGCAGGCACCTGTAATCTCAGCTACCGGGGTGCTGAGGCAGGAGAATCACTTGAACCCGGGAGGTGGAGGTTGGAGTAAGCCAAGATCTCGAGATCGCACCACTGCATTCCAGCCTGGGTGACAAGAGCAAAACTCTGCCTCAAAAAAAAAAAAAAAAAAAAGAAAGAAATAGGTCCGTACATGTATAGTCAATTGATTTTACCCAAATGTAGAGAAATTCAGTAGAGAAAGAATATTTTTGTAAATGGTATTAGACCAAATAGATATCTCTTTTAAAAAACTGAATTTCTATCCATACTTCACTATATAAAAGATTAAGTCAAGGTAGTTCATAAACCTCATATAAAACCTAAAACCATACAATTTCTAGGAAAAAAACAAAGCAGTGAATCTTATGGTTTCAAGTTAGTCATAATTTCTCTCCCTCTCTTTCGTGTTTTGTTTTTTTGTTTGTTTTGTTTTGATGGAGTCTTGCTCTTGCCCAGGCTGGAGTGCAGTGGTGTGATCGTGGCTCACTGTAACCTCTGCATCCCAGGTTCAAGCAATTCTCCTGCCTCAGCCCCCTAAGTAGCTGGGATTACAGGTGCCAGCCACCATAACTGGCTAATTTTTCTTTTGTATTTTTTGTAGAGATGGAGTTGGCCACCATGTTGGCCATGCTGGTCTTGAACTCCTGACCTCAGGTGATCCGCCCACCTTGGCCTCCCAAAGTGTTGGGATTACGGACATGAACCACCACGCCCAGCCAGGTTAGTCATAATTAGATATAACCAAACCACAAACCATATAAGAAAATAATTGATTAATTGCACTTCATCAAATTAAGAACTTCTGCTCTTTGAAAGATACTGTTAACAGAATGAAAAACATAAACTGCTGGGAGCAAATATTTGTAAAACATGTCTGACAGATGATATAAAAAATATTAAAAAGTTCTTCCAATTTAATAATAACGAACAAACTGCCCAACTGGAGATGGGTAAACAATTTGAACAGACATTTCACTAAAGAAAATATGCAGGTGGAAAATAAATATATGCAAAGATTCACTAGTTACGAGGGAAATGCATACCATTAAAATCACAGTGTAACTACACACTCATTTAAATGACTACAATAAAAAAATTGACCATACCATGTTTTGTAAAGATATGAAACAACTAGAAAACATACATCCTTCTAGTAGGAATGTAAAATGGTGCAACCACTTATGAAACTAGTTTTGCAGTTTCTTTAAAATTTACATATACACATCAAACAACTCAACAGCAAAAAAATAAATAATCTGACTAAAAGCTGGTCAAAGGATCTGAACAGATATTTCTCAAAAAAAGACAAATGGCCAATAAGTATATTAAAAAATGTTCACAATCCCAGCACTTTGGGAGGCCGAGGTGGACAGATCATGAGGTTAGGAGTTTGAGACCAGCCTGGCCAACACAGTGAAACCCTCTCTCTACTAAAAATGCAAAAATTAGCCAGGTGTGGTGGCACATGCCTGTAATTCCAGCTTGTAGGGAACATGAGGCAGGAGAATTGCTTGAACCTGGGAGGTGGAGGTTGCAGTGAGCTGAGATCACACCATTGCCCTTTAGCCTAGCAGCAGAGTGAGACTCCATCTCAAAAATAAATAAAAAATAAAAAATAAATGCTCAAGATCACTATTGGGGAAATGCAAATTATCATTATTCTTTCATTTTTAGTTTTTAGACGCAGGGTCTCATTCTATCTCCCAGGGTGGAGTGCAGTGGTACCATCATAGCTCACTGTAGCCTCAACCTCCTGGGCTCAAGCGATCCTCCTACTTCAGCCTCCCAAGTAGCTAGGATCAAAGGTGCATGTCACTGTGCTCAGCTAATTAAAAAAATTTTTTGGAGGCTGGTCTCACTATGTTCCCCAGACTGGTCTTGAATTCCTGGCCACAAGCAATCCTCCTCCCTCAGCCTCCTGAGTGCTGAGAGTCCTGGGCTCAGGAAATGCCAATTAAAACCACAAAGAGAGGTCAGGCATGTTGACTCATGCCTGTAATCCCAGCACTTTGGGAGGCTGAGGTGGGCAGATCATGAGGTGAGGAGTTTGAGACCAGCCTGGCCAACATGGAGAAACCATGTCTGTACTAAAAATACAAAAATTAGACAGGTGTGGTGGTACTCGCCTGTAATACCAGCTATTCAGGAGGCTGAGGCATGAGAATCACTTGAACCTGGGAGACAGAGGTTGCAGTGAGCCGGGATCATGCTACTGCACTCCAGCCTGGGCAACAGAGTCTCAGACAACAGGAACAACACAATGAGCTATCACATCACACCTGTCAGAATGGCTATAATAAAAAAATAAATAAATAATAACAAGTGTTGGCAAGAATGTGGAGAAAAGGGAATCCCTGAACATTGTTGGTGGGGATGTCATTTAGTGCAGCCATTATGGAAAACAGTACGGAGGTTTTTCAAAAAATTCAAAATGAGTCGGGCACGGTGGCTCGTGCATGTAATCCCAACACTCTGGGAGGATGAGGTGGGTGGATCACAAGGTCAGGAATTCACGACTAGCCTGACCAAGATGGTGAAACCCCATCTCTACTAAAAACACAAAAATTAGCTGAGTGGGGTGGCAGGCACCTATGATCCCAGTTACTCGGAAGGCTGAGGCTAGAAAAATCGCTTGAACCCAGGTGGCAGAGGTTGCGGTGAGCCGAGATTGTACCACTGTACTCCAGCCTGGGCGACAGAGTGAGACTCTGTTTCAAAAATAAATAAATAAACAAAAATAAAAAGATCCCAGCAATCCCACTGCTGGGATCTGCAGGCAAAGAAAGCCAGGCAAATACCACATGATCTCACTGACATGTGGAATCTGAAAAAGATGAATCCAGAGAAGCAGAGAGTAGAGGACACTACAAAGAGGCATGAAGAAAACTTTTGGGAGTAACGACAAAAGGTTCATTATTTTTATTGTAGTGATGGTTTCACAGGCATATACACATGTCAAAGCTTATCAAATCACATACTTCAAACACGTGCCATTTATGATCATGTCAACTATATCTCAACAAAGCTGATTTTAGATTTTTCTTCTCTTTCTTTTGCTTCTTTTCATTTTTTTTTTAGAGACGGGATTTTACTATGTTGCCTAGGCTCGTCTCAAACTGCTACACTCAAGCCATCTTCTTTGCCTTGGCCTCCCAAAAGTGCCAGGATTACAGGCGTGCACCACCAGGCCTGGCAATAAAGCTGATTTTAAAAAGCAGAATGAGAAAGAATAATGTATCTGTACATACTGACATTTTAAAAAAGTCTACAACACATGCTAAGTTTTAAAAAGGTGTAGGATTACATATAGATGGAGAGAGCTAAGTATCTCATGATCCCAGGTATGTAAAATGAGTATCTGTATATTGAATATATGTATGTGAATGTATACAAAACATCTAAGGAAATACGTATTAATCCATTTCCAATTTGAGATTGGAGAAACACTATGGAAGGCTTTCATCTTATACATCCCTTTACTGTTTAAACTTTGTATAACAATCATGCACTACTTCTGAAATTTTTAAAATAAAAGAAAGTTTAAAAAAAAAAAAAGTTAAAAAGCCACAGGGCAAAAGATGAAAGTTTGGGAGGCCAAAGTGACATACTTTATAACAACAAATAAAAGATGGGGTCTTATGTTTGGAGATGAATTCCCAGTTGCAAAGCTAAAGCAAAAGGCATAGGCATCAAATTCACTTGGACTTAGATTCTGATCTGCTCTCTCTGCTCCTGCCCAATGGAAAATCACCATTTCCATGGGCCACCGAGATGAGTGACAGCAACTGCCTATCCTTCCAGTATCCTGAGGCACACATCGAAAACTTTAAAGGACCAACAGTTTTCGCTCCGATTTTCAATGGGGATGAGGAACAATCAAGGTGCCAATAAAAAATCTGTCAAGGTTTCTGAGCCCACACTCTTCAGAGTATTTGGTACCTTGGATAATTTTCTGCTGCTGTTGTCGGATTTCATCAAAACCAAAGCCTCTGGTCTCCTCTGGCTCCTCAAAGAGCCAAGGGTTGGGTGCTCCTCGCTTAGCCTCTTCCCTCATCAGGCTGGACCTAAAGAACAATATTAAATGCATAATATATCTCAAAACATGTAGCTCAAATGCAAACGACTCCCACAAGTGCAGAGGTGGCCAGCCCTGAATGCTTTGAAAATTCAATTGAAACACAATTTATTGCATTCTCAGTTTATGCCAGGAACTGCATTCAGGGCTGAAAGAGATACAAGGATGAATAAGGCACAAGCTCGGTCCTCAGAATTACAGCCTCTTATGGAGATGATGGTAGAACATAATACTTGTACTAATGCTCCAAGAGACATTTAAGTTTATTATCCTAAAATATGTTGGTAATAAACGAGGTTCTTAAATTTCAAAAACACAAGGCCGAACAGTGGCCTTTTTATTAGGACAAAGTTTGTCTCAGAGGCTTTATGACCCCAAAGGTACAAATATTATTTCTCAAGCAGACACAATGTTGCAAGTACAGATTACAAGTTGTGACTACAGAGTACAATGTTGAAAAAAAATAAAGGCCATATAATTTCCCATTAAAGGATATTTGGAGCCAGGTATGGCGGGTCATGCCTGTAATCCCAGCACTTTGGGAGGCCCAGGCAGGAGGATCACCTGAAGTCAGGAGTTCCAGACCAGCCTGGCCAGTGTGATGATTAAACCGTGTTTCTAAAAACAATACAAAAAATTATCCGGACTTGGTGGTGGGCGTCTGTAATCCCAGCTACTCAGGAGGCTGAGGTAGGAGAATTGCTTGAACCTAGGAGGAGGAGGTTGCAGTGAGCCGAGATTGCGCCACTGCACTCCAGCCTGGGTACCAGAGCGAGACTCTGTCTCAAATAAAGAAAAGAAAAAGGACATTTGGTTGCTCACAGACAGAAACACATTCAGGGTTTCAAAACCAATTTTGTGACTAATGTAGCATTCATAACAGAATAAACACATTCTGATTTGTCAATCTTAATCTTTACTCCCTCTAATAATCCATGTGTCCCTTCTGCAGCAGACCAGTTGGTCTCACTGTCTAAGGAACAGGAAGCACAGGATTTCCGCCTCAGCCCCCATGTTTTTAGGATTCTCCTCCCCTCAAGTAGCTCCTCTCCTCTCCCTGCCTGTCCACATTCTGGCCAAGCTGAGAAGATCATCTTGTCCCGGATACCACCTTCTGACCACTTCAACGAAGAGATGAACTTTCACTTATAGCAGTCATCGAGTCATGAAAAATCACGGAGTAAATGATGGGTGGGACATCAGCAAGCTGGCTGATTAGAGGCACCCGGTGTTCACCCGCCCCACTTTCTTATGGAAAGACCAAGGCAGTGAATGAACAGCTAAGTTTGACTCCAGTGTGGGAAAGCACTGGACTGCAGTGGGGAAGTGGAGAGGCCCCTGTGGTGACTGAAAATCCAGGAGGGCAGCATGAAGGCCCCCAGCCTCTGTGGCCCCATCTCTTCCACGAGGATTGGGCAGGCCTGGACGCAGGAGGGCCTTCTCCCTATGAGGAAAAGGTAAGCAGAAGATTCCCACCAGCCCCCACTGCCACTGCAGACACCTACGATCCTTACTACAGGAGGATCCCGCCAAGTTCTGAGCCCAGTTTGGAGAGCGGCTGGGAACTGGTACAGTTGTACTGCCACAGATTAGGAGCACACCCCACTCCCTGCCCACCCCATGAGCCAAGTTACACATGATGCCACAGCATGGTGGCATCTCTGGACCCCAGCTCCCTCTGGAGTGTGCCTTCCTCCTGAGGCCAGCAGCCACTGCATCTTTCCAGCACTGGGACTCCATCTTCATGCCACCAAACCTACACAGGTGGCTAACTCTACACCCCAGGGCCCAGGAATGGCCATGACTCCTGCACTGAAGAGAAACCACCCTCTGCACTTCAGCCACAGAAACAGTCCCACCCAGGGCAAACCCACTCTTGAGCCAACCAAACTGCCGCATACCCTCCTGCAAGCAGAATGCCCTGAGCAACTGACAGGCTAGCAGAGTGACTACAGTCCTGTATCCAGGATCTGTGAACTAGTCAGTCAGTGTAGCCCCCTGCAGACAAGACCCTGGCCCACCTAAAGGCCTCACACCTCAATCAGGGCCTGAGAAACAACCCTGCAGGCTGCCCCGGGCAGACATACCCCCAGGCCAGTGAAGTAGTCATGTGTCCACATCTCAGGCCTGAGAAACAGCCCATGGGTCACCCCCAGCAGCAACTCCCCTAGGCCCGCCAAGCAGCCTTGTGTTCATATCCCAGGTCTGAGAAGCAACTCCTAAGGCCACTCCTGGCAGACATGCCCCCCCAGGTCCGTCAAGCAGCCTTTTGCCCACCTCTCATGCCTAAGAAACAGCCCTGTGGGCTGCCCGCAGCTGACATGACCCCAGCCCCAGGAGAGCTGAGCAACAGTGTGCCAATGTCCCAAACCTGAGAAACAGCCCAACAGGCCCCTCTGGCAGGTGGCATGCAAGACTGGCCAAGCAACCAAGCATCTGTGCCCTCAGCCAGAGTAAGGGCATCAACCCCAAACCCAGCAAGGGAGACCCCAAGTTGGACAACCCACCATGTGAACCCATGCATTGCCAACCTGATTAATAGCCCAGTGAGCACACCCCTGGCAAAGTCATGCCACCACCACCACAAAGCCTCTCAGCTGAGGCCACTGAGACACTCACAAATGTCACTGGCATGGATTATAGTTGAAGAAACTACACAAAAACTACACTACTATGCCCACCAAAGCCAATGCACCCCAATGAACCAACACCCCAAGATGCATTCACATGACTACTTCTGATGAGAGGTCTAAAGTGAATGTTCATCAAATCAAAAAATTCATTCTATTTGATACACAGAAATCAACACAGGGATATATCAAACATGAAAAAGCAAGGAAACATGACACCTCCAAAGATATACAATAATTCCTGTGTAATAGATCTCAATCATAGAGAAATATACAAAGTGACAGAAAAAGAATTCAAAATCGTACTCTTAAGAAAAAACAGTGAGATACAAGATAATGCTAGACAACTGGATGAAATCAGGAACATAATTCATGAATCGAACAAGAAATTCAACAAGAAGATACATGCCATTAAAAAAAGAAAAACAAAACAGATATCCTAGAGCTGAAGAATTCAATGAGTAAATAAATAGAACAAGCTAGAGCTTTACCAAAAGACTAGACCAAGCAGTAGAATTTTATTTTATTTTTCTGGAGACAGGGTCTCACTCTGTCACTCAGGCTGGAGTGCAGTGGCATTATCTCAGCTCACTGCAACCTCCACCTCCTGGGTTCAAGTGATTCTCCCACCTCAGCCCTCCTGAGTAGCTGGGGCTACAGGGGTATGCCACCATACCCAGCTAATTTATATATCTTTTAGTAGAGATGGGGTTTCACCATGTTAGTCAGGTTGGTATCAAACTCCTGGCCTCCAGTGATCCACCCTCCTTGGCCTCCCAAAGTGCTGGGATTACAGGCATGAGTCACCATGCCTGAGCAAATTTTTGAACTTGAATACAGATCTTTTGAAGTAACACAGAAAGATGTAAAATAAAACGGAATGAAGAAAGCCTACAGAATTCATGGGACACCATTAAGTGAACAAATATTCACACTGTGGGTGTTCCAGAAAGAGAAGGGGAGAGGTACAGAAAACATCGAATGAAACAGTAGTTGAAAACTTCCCAAGTCTTCTTGGGAGCAAAATGGATATCCAGATCCAGGAATTTGAATTAAAAAAAAAAAATAGATTCCATTCAAACAGGACCTCTCTCAGGCACATAAGAGTCAAATTGTCAAAAGACAAAGACAAAGAAAGAATTCTAAAAACAGCAAGAGAAGGGCCGGGCGCGGTGGCTCATGGCTGTAATCTCAGCACTTTGGGAGGCTGAGGTGGGTAGATCACAAGGTCAGAAGATCAAAATCATCCTGGCCAACATGGAAAACCTGTCTCTACTAAAATAGAAAAAATTAGCCAGGCGTGGTGGCAGGTGCCTGTAGTCCCAGCTACTCAGGAGGCTGAGGGAGGGGAATCACTTGAAGCTGGGAGGCAGAGGTTGCAGTGAGCCGAGATCGCGCCACTACACTCCAGCCTGGTGACAGAGCAAGACTCCGAAATAAAGAAAGGAAAGAAAGCAAGGAAGGAAGTCAAGGAAGGGAAAGGAAGAAGGGAAGGGGAGGGGAGGGAAGGGGAGGGGAGGGGAGAGAAGGGAAGGGAGGAAAGCAGGAAGGAAGGAAATGAAAGTGGTAATATGGGCACAAAGTAACGAATCTCAAACCAGACATACATAGAAAAGATTCCCCAGGGTTATCTGATTTCCAAGGCTGAACTAGCTAACTCCACTTCCCTCTGGTTTGGTGTTTGTAGTTTGCTGCTGCCTCAAACCTATGAAAAAATCCAGCAATGGATATACCTTCACTCAGAAAAGCAGGTAAGATCATGAGATCACAGGTATCCCTGGATGTACAACACCTAATTCTCTTTTCATTCAGTTTTATGTTCAATTTAACATTTGGGGTGGTGTCTATTATTACTGTTCTAGGTATTAGGAAAGTATGAAAAAATGAAAACATAATTCTTGCTTTCAAGGAGTTTATAATCAAATTGAAACAAGAAACTAACCAACATGAAACACGCTAATTAAAATAAGAGAGCATCTAGCTCTGCATCCCTGGACTATTCCAAAAATCTCTTCAACTCTGGTTTTCTCATTCATAGAACAAGCAAGCTAAGTGGGTCAATGGTTTTCAACCTTCTTTCTGGCCCAACACTTGAGAAATGATACCCTGTTAATAGTGACATTGGGGAGTAAGGTGGGAAAGATGCACCTTGGTGGGGGAAAGCAGATAATCTTTTGAATCCTGCAAAAGATGATTTCCAATTGTTGCAAATTGTGAATTAGATTTTTTCAGTCTCTGCTCAAATGTTGTCTCCTCAGAGAGGTTTCCCTGCCTCCTACATCCAAAACAGCATCTGTCTCTGTCACTCCTTCATGCCACTCCTCCTCACCTTGCTTAAGTTTTCTTCACAGCAATGAAC